AATGCTCTCTTCATTAGCAACAACAATTTTGTGCAAGTGTTGCCCTCTCTCACTGTCTCACAGCCCGAATAACCCACTGACATGACTTGGCATGCTGCAGCAAGTAGAGTTTCATTTTAAATGACTTCTTGCGTCTGTTCGTGTTTTTTTGACTTTATTTTCATTATGAAACTAAAAATGGCTAACGTCAAGTTTTCTCTTAAGAACATTGTCCGCAGCAATAGCTCTTGTGTATTGTGCATTCACCAATTGGAAAAATAAACATTTGAGTTTATTATTGTTAAGCTATTACTAATCAAGGCTGATTAGGCTGAAAATTGTGCTTTTTCTGTCAACAGCTCAATTTTAGGTGCATCTCTATTGAGCGCAAACATGAGCTCACCAGCTGTTACTTATTTTATCTGTTGTTTGCAAAGGGCTTAAAAGAGTAGATTTCTTCCTAGATGTCACTTCTAAAGTGAATGATTTTAAAAGTAACAGTTGTTACTGCTAGCGTTTTATTATTATACTCTTGATATTGCAAAAAAAAAAAAAAACAAAAAAAACTATTTGGAATGCAATAGCCACTGGCTAACAATGCCAATGGATACATATTTTGCATTGCAGTAGGATATTCAATCTGCTGGATGGACTCTAATCTGCACTTCAGAGATTATTGTCCAAGGTCCTGATTGTTACACAGAGCGCTGAGAGGACTCGAGTTAAGCAAAAAATTAACATTTATCACAGTGTTTGCCAGCAATGTTGCCATTGCATGGACTTCTACCAACAGTTATTTTAGTAATCGATTATTCTGTCAAGTATTCTGACAATCAGATTTTAGAAATGGCATACAATATTAGACATACATGAATGTAAACAAATAATTAATTCCCATAAATATGTTATTGCCAGAAACGTGGCATTCCTTTAGTAAAAAAAAGTTTTAAAAAAAGAAAAATAAAAAAAACTTCTGACATCAACATGTGAAAAGCTCGGCCCTTTCTCCTTGACTTATCATGAATAGTGTGGAGATAATATCTTGATGCTTTTTTGGATTAACCAAGTGGCGCTTAATATGAAATTATTTTTTTGCAGTATTTGAACCAGTTTAAACTGAAACTTTAAACGCCACTTGAGGAAATCTGAGTTGAACACATTTACAGACGAACAGTTTTTGTGTCTTTAATGCAAAATGTGTAGATTTTTCTTTTTCTGACAGTTTTGGCATAATTTCTGCGCTGGCCTTTTTTTTGAGTCTGTGTGCTCTACTTAACAATTAATCAGTTAAAACAATTAGTTGGCAATTATTTCAATAATTAGTTAATCATGATTAATTAATCATTCCAGCGTTATTTCTCATATCATGCAGCGATCTGTGCAACAGCATACGGAGTGATGACGTACCGTGTGGGAGTGGGTTCAGAGTACTTTTGCACTTTATTCTAACAGGAATATGTGATGAATCTGTGTGTCGTGTCCTATTGCACCATTACGATCTGCTCAGAGACCAGAAAGTGGTTTCAGTGAAGCCAGGTGAATGTGTAGTGTTGTTTCACTTGCAGCTGTTTACTCTCACATCTTATATGTGTGTTTTCTCACAACGATCGTATTTTCTGTAATCTGACAGTCTGACCCCATAGCAACAGCTGTTTACCGTTTACCCTAAAGTTTATTTATCAGGATTTTCGGCTGCATTTAGCTCAAATTTGCCTTTTAAAAAAACGTTTTACTTTGCTGAGAATAGAACAGAGCGCTTTTCTGTCACAAGTTTCTGCCTCTTGTTATTCCCTTAACTACTTCAAGACCTTAAACACGGAAATGAACGTAAGAGCAATCAGTTAAAAAAAAAAAAAAATCAGAAAATATGTCCTATTTTCTTTTTAAGTAGCAAGTCATTCATTAGGGTCTGTGTAGCTGATTTGTAGAAATGCAGAGTGAATTACCTGCGTTCATGGGTGGAAAGTTTTTTTGTCACTGTGACCTGCTTTTTCCAGCCCTCCTGCAAAAGAAGGGCACATGCACTCAGCTCAGACCTCTCGTCTCTTTTCTAGGTGACGCACTTTTTTTTTTGGGTTTTTTTACAGTCTTGACACTCATTTCAGTGTTTTTTATGAGATCTGTATCAACAAATTAGTGGGACACAAGCACGCAAGCAGAAACGTGCTTCTGAATGAGCTCCAATAAAAATGTTGCCAATTTCGTCTTTTTTTTTTTTTTTTCCCCCATTGGAAAACGAGCTCAGCTCTGGAGCAGAATCGATCCAGTTTAAGTGTTCTGGAGAAGGTTGAGTTATGTTGTTGTGGGCAGCTGTTTGAGAAAAGAGGAGTCTCCAGTTTAACTTAAGCCAATAAACTTACTAATGGGGATTGTGTAGTGTCAGATTGTGAGCTATAGTGTTTCTTGAAGGATCCACTTAAACAAATGATACGGTAGTAGTCCTAAATATTTAAATAAAAACCTGAAGCCATATTAGTTGCTCGTTCATGAGCATTTTTAGTTAAAAGAAACAAATATGAGGACATTGTTGTGGAACTGGGGTTTGCCCGATATGGGAGGAGGACCTATGGGAGGTGTGTTGCAGGATACCTTCTGTCAACTCCCTAAGTTAGGTCACACCTCTGGCTATCTCCTTTACTTCCTGACACAAGCCTCCAAATATTTTGACTCAAAACGACTAACAGTAACTCCAGCTCCTCTGCAGTCAACGGATGTCTGCTGGCTGTGCAGTGGGTGAAGTAAACTGAGACGTGAGGTATGACTGGCAAGCTACGAGAAGACCTAGTTTTAAACTACACAACAAAAGAGCATGCACACTGTCACCTATGCACAAGCACAGATGTGGTGTGTAGGCGACAAAAGCACAGGATGTGTGGTACGGGGGCAGGAAGAGGAGCAGGAGCTGAAAGAAATGTGTGTTTTTAGCAGGAGAGTTTTGGGTTTTCAAAAGTTACTAAAGTAGTGCCGACAGGGACCCAACGAGTTTCTTCAAGCCTTTTACTCTTGGAAAGTTCCAGACTACTTGATAATCACACACCAAGACACACCTTGGAGATGACAGAATCTATTTGCTGTGTCTCTTTGTGCCATAGTTGGCTCAGTTTCCTGTTAGAATACGGATTCTATGTAGAAGTGTCTATGATGCAATTTGAAGTGAATTTATTGGTTGCAAGCTTCAGATTTGTCTCATTCGTGTTGATCGTTATCTTTGTACTGTATGGCACGTAAAGTGATCATTTGTGGTTTGGCTTGTGCTCTCAGCCTGTGCTTCATGTCATTAGAGGGCGTATAAAACGTGTTACTCTGTTAGCTCAATTGTTATTTTTAACATTTCTATATATAAGATTTAAATGAAAAGAAGAAACAACATTTCTTAGGAAGCTTGAAGCTATTTCAGTAGGTATATAACATTACCACAGAATTATGTCTTAGAAAATGTCATTTACAGGCCCAGAATGGAAAAGGTTGTTTCTTATTATTGTCTTATTTTTCTTTGTCCCTGTTGGGCAAATGTTGGTATGAGTTTCTGACTATAATAACCTGGAGTAAAAAATTGTGTTTTCACATCACAAGATTTATATCCAGTCAAAATAATCCAAATTATTTTATTTAAAATAAAAACTACCAATAATTCTTGCTTGCATCTATTCCTAAAATAATTTAACGATGGTTGTATTGTTATGATGCTCTTCTTAACTATAAAATGTTTTTTTTTTTTTTTTTTTTTTTTATTGTAATGTAGAACGATGAGATAAATATGATGCAGAGTTGCTAATATTAGTAGTAGTTTTCAGCTGCTTATTGCACAAAATACGAGAAGTTTTTGATGGGGATGCAAAAAAAAAATATCAACATTAACATGATGTTAGTCTTTTTTTTTTTTGTTCTGTTTTGTTTTTTTATATCTATGTTGGTCCCATAACTAAAACCGTGCTGAAATCAATATCCAGTGTTTATTTCCAACTTGTTACCGTTTCTGTTTCGGGAGGGAGAAGGAAGCGAGGTCACTATGTGGTATTTGTTTGCTCATCATGACAGTGATGCAGTGCAGGATTGTGGGATTTTTGTAACTGCAGCAGAGAAGCAATGGCAGCGGAGTGGTCGTCTTTTGATTCTTACGAAATCTAGATGTAATATAAAAAACATTGTTAAATATTGGCCATGACAGCAATATTGATACTGGATATTGATATAGGCAAAAAAAAAAATTATATTGGTGGAACTCTTAGTTGTTGACATTTTGCTAGTCGGGCTGTCTGCTCCAGCAACTAGCCTGTGGTCGGCTGCTAAACACTAGTGGATAGGACTCACCCTTTTACTTTCCACACCCTTGAATGACTGTGTTTTTCCTATTTTGAAATATCCCCAAACACTGAATATAGTTTTTCTTAAGAAGGTCAAAGGGTAATGATGCTCCTACAGGCAGTTGTCTGGCAGTACGTTACATCAGATTAGCAGAGGCGACAACGCATTATTCCCTGAAAGGATGTCAAGGGGTGGAAAATTCCCAGAAACCTTTCGTGGGAATTTTGGTTGGGAATTTGTGGAAATATTACAAATTGTAAACTTTCCATGAGAAAATAAATATGTTTTTTTAAATTCATATGCTTTCATGCAATATTCTCAAACAATACCATATATAAAATATATTTACCCTATCATGTCATCAAAACTGACTTCATGAAGTTCACAGACTCATCTGCGCGTACCTTAGTCTTGTGTTCTGGGCTTCAAAGTGCAGGTTCAGTGGCAGAAACCTTGCGGGCTTGTGATGAAGGAATGCACAGTGCATGCAGGGGATGTTTACTTAATAGCCCAGCAGTGAGTAGAGTACTAAGTGCATGTAATTAAGGAAATGGAATGGCAAAAAGTGTGTTTTATCAGTTTTTAAAAGCTTGGGTGTATCTGGATTCCAGTGAATGGCCCCGTGCCTAGTTTCCCTTCGTCTTTGGAAACGGTCTTGAAAAGAAATGGCGGCTGTTTTGTTTTGCTCACTGTTTTCCGTGTGTCTGCTCCTACAGTTGACATTCGAGAGATCAAAGAGATCCGTCCTGGTCAGAAGTCCCGGGACTTTGAGCGCTATGTCGAGGACTCAGCAGTACGACTTGACAACTTCTGCTTCGTTATTCTCTATGGCACGGAGTTTCGCCTTAAATCCCTCAGCTTGGCAGGTATGCGCACAAACATTCTTCATCTGTCATTGTAGCAAACCTCGGTCAGTGGAAAAAGGGACATTTTCTTTAAACTATGACTGTTTTTTATATGTAGTGCCGTCATATTTGTGACTCTTGTTTCTTACTAACTACTTTCCTCAGCAACATCTGATGAGGAGATGTCTATGTGGGTGAAGGGGTTAAAGTGGCTCAGGGACGATACATTGAAATCACCAACACCATTACAAATAGAAAGGTACCCTAAAGCAAACACATCATTATCATCCAAATTTTTTTTTTTAATTAAAAATGTTAAGTCCATTCATTCTCATCTTCCAGGTGGTTACGCAAGCAGTTCTATGCTGCTGATCGCAACAGAGAGGACAGGTGAGTTCTAGACGGCACAATTAAATATTTTTCATTTATACTGAGCATATAATCCATTTATGCTCTCTATGCACAAAAAGTGGAATATTTCAAGCCTGTGTTTCTTGTAATTTTGATGATTATGGCTCACAGATCACAAAGTCTGTGGCATGGAAGCGGTAGATCTGGTGTCCCTTATCTTCCTCTTGACAACAGCACCTAGATTCTCTGTGGCACAGGCTCATTCCAAAATTGCTCTCAAATACTTTGTCTAAAAATGATATAGAATCAATTGTTTTCAAATAAAGATATAATAATAAATGCAGGTTTTAGCAGTTTTTCTTTTTTTTTTTATGGAATTATTGCTTCGGAGTTCCACAACAGAATTACACTAAGAGTACAAATTATATTTGTTTAGATCTCTTTTTGTTGCCATTAAATTGAATACTAGATGCTTTTTTTAATGTTTTCACAAATCCCATCAAAGAAAATGTAACTATCTTCTTTTTGCAAAGGTTTTAACCTTGTATGTCAACACATTATTACCTGCTGTAGATATTTCTCAAGAATTGTCAGTTGCACTTTTTTCAAAAGGACTCTAGTGTTGATTTAAAAACAAAAAGTTGAAATGAGGACTTTTGGCCACTGAGCAACAGTCCAGTAATTTTTTTCTGTCCAGTCAGCAGTTTCCCCACCATTACCGTGTCCTACTGACCCAGACTGAGACAGGCTCAGAAAACCTTTGCAGGTGTTTGTGGTTGATTAACTGATTAGTCACTCAATGGGCAACTTTTACACAATGTTCTAAATTTCTATAATCCATCTACAAGCCACAATTATTGAAATTATGAGAAATAAAGCCTTAAAGTGTTTATCTCTGTATAGGGAATTTGTATGATGTTATATGAACTTCACTTTTTGAATTTAAGTTTTTAAAATTGGTTTCATTCATTCAACAGGTTCATTGTTATTATTTTTAAATCACTTGGCACTTTTAACTTTATGGTTTTGGCAAAAAAAAAACAAACAAAAAAAAACCAGTTTGGTCGCCACTGCAACAGAGAACAAGATATTTTCTTTTAGTTAGCTTTGTGAAATGCCTTTTTTTAGATCAGCAGCAAGTAACTTTCCATTTCCAATGGTTGTTTAATAATCAAGAGTAAAGTGAACTGGTTCTATCTGGATGCTGGGTGTTTTTGTCAGCGCTCAGTTGAGGTGTAGTGAAGGAACTGACCTAAGAGCCAAACACTAGCCCCTCTTCCTGCAGCAGGAAACAGACCGCAGAGCACGAAGGAGATGTGCAGAGATGTTTGTCTGTAACATCCCTGTCTTTGTTATTTTTTAAGGCTATTCTCATCGCCTGCCAACGATTCCAGGCTCTGTAGTAAAAGCGAAGCAGTAGAAAAATAAATCTGATCCGACGGCGTCCAGGCTTGGACGGATTTTACGTGCTCATGCATTTTAGTGTTTAATCATTTTTGTTTTCACAAAACGTGCCCGTGTGTGTGCATAGGATATCCTATAAGGATCTGAAGAACATGCTGAGCCAGGTCAACTACAAGGTGCCAAACATGAGGTTCATTAAAGACAAACTTCCGGTAACCTCTCTCCGTCTTATCACAGACCACCTTTCCATTCTCTCTCCCTGCCCACTTCCTGCTCCACCATAAGATTTATGATTTTTATCGTGACGGTTCTTCCTTACACACTCATCCTTCTCGTCTTGCTTTGTAAGGACTCTGAAACCAGGAATGGAGACGTGACCTTCAGCCAGTTCGCCCAGCTTTATCGTAACCTCATGTTCGATGCGCAGAAAAACGTAAGTGCAGACATTTTATGTTCTCCCATCGCTCTTCCCCTCCTGCGATCCCCTGCTGAGGCCCACTTCATCCCCCATCTGTGTGTTCTCAAATGGCTGCAAGATCAATATGCACCGGCTGAAACCCACCAAACCCCTCTAGTGGAGGCCATTAGGACACACACATGAGCAAGCAGACAGACTGGTCACATTAAATGGATGACCCCAGTGGCCTCACCCAACCTGCTGGAAGTCTGTGTCTGTCTACATAAGCTGAACTGCACACAGAATTAGTACAGTACTGTGATGGAAATTAACTAAAATATTCTGTTTTTTTTTTTTAACCTCTTTTCAGGTGGAGATCCCTTTTATGCAAAGGTAGGTCCTAAAAACGAGACTCTGATGTGAACAGTGAATCTTTTTCTTGAATGTCAGTTGTTAATTTCCTGCTTCCTTCTCAAACAGGTTCATGGGTAACATAGTTGATGAAAGGATCACCCTGGAGGATTTCCAGAGCTTCCTCGTAGAATGCCAGAAGGTAATCCCTCAGCTATTTAACACGTCACTGAATTTGTTTTGGTTCGTGCTCTAATCTGACTGTATTTTTTTATTTATCGTTTGGGCATTTAAGGAACTGTGGGCCTCGGACAACAACAAGGTTCAAGAGTTTATGTTCAGCTACCTGAAAGACCCCCTAAGGGAAGTGGAGGATCCATATTTCCATCCAGAGGAGGTAAATAAATTACCCTCTTCTGTTCTAAGGGTTTCACCTGTTAATGGAAACATTTCAGATGTTTTCAGAAGTAAAGTTTTCCAATGCCCCTCATTGTGCTACAGCTGTGGGTGGGAGTTTATTCAGACACTGATATGGATACCGGTGATCTCGGCCTAAAATACCATCTCCTACGCATTCAGAAAAGGTTATTTACCAAACTGCTGCATGACAGTTCTGCTGAATGCGAAGGATGCTTTTGTGGTCACCAATAATGTAATGACTTAAGAGGAAAGGAAGCTGGTGAGAACCAGTCTGCTGGAGACGCTGGCAGAAGTTAGACAATGCCTTCGTCTAACAAGCAGGAATGCAGTCTTCAGCTGGACCAGAAACTCACTTCAGTTCATTAAAGTCATTTTGGTTTGTTAGCAGTTTGCAAAGTTTGCAAGATGCTGCATTATATCTCACGTGTCACCACTGACTTGTAATGAAAGTCAGGGTAAATCATCTAAAAACCACTGCAGAAACAAAGTAGCACCGAAACCGTACATTCCACACAGAAAGGCCTCAACTTGGGTTTGACTCAAGAAACTTCTTCCTGTGCAGAAACAGTTGAACCTGCACTACTGCCTGAATATTTTTTTAAAGCATTTGCAGCACTCTGTAGAATAATTGATTCCAGGATTGACTTTGTCCAGTACTGCAGTTTCAACCAGGATCTCATCTGAAATGGCACCAGTGCTAAATTAGTAGTACAATCACCCTGTTTTTTTGTTCTGTTTTAAAAATATACTTAGTGTGTCCTGTCGAACAATGTGGTTTTAAGGATAGTTGTCAGTGGAGCGTTGTCGCTTTCAGTCGAATTCTACACTGGATTTTTATAAAACACTTCAAATGTAGTAGACAGAGACTGTAAATAAAGGAAAAAAGGGAGAGAGGTGAGATAAAAAGTTTAAGAGGAAATGAGACAATACTAGAGAAACAGAAGGATAAAGAGAAAATACCCTAGAAGTCTGCTACTACACCTTCAGAAAGAGAGAGAGAGAAATAAAAACTGAACTGAGAAACCACAGTGACAAACATCCACCTGGGACAGCGTTGTCACTGATAGATGATTGGAGCCACAGACATTCAAAGATCTTAAACCAACCCGCTGACGCAGGAGGCGATCCTGTTCATTCCAGGGTGGACCACCCAAAGGTTTTTAGATTTTAAGCCAGAGATTATCAGGGGATACGTATAACGGTGAAACGGGCCTGAACTATCTTTCCTTTAGGCCAAAAACAACATCCAACAACTTCTTGTTGCGTTTTCATATACTGACTAAAAGTTGAAAAAGCGTTGCCGTAGTTACATTTCAAACAATCTGTAATTATTCTAAAAGCACCCTGGACGTAATGAATAAGATGAACTTTAGTGTTGGTAGCATTTTTTTTTTTGTTTGTTTGTTCATTTTAAGTAATTGCAAAACATTCTCATCTACCCCTCTGTTTCTGATTGTTTTATTTAGTATTAGGAAGTTGGGCAGATGGAAATAAATGTGGTGGAAAAGGTGTCAAAGCAGAAGGAATAACTGCATCCTGGAGACTACTGAAGGAAAAGCTTTTAAAAAGGGAGTGGACTGCAGCTTACAGTCTGGTTCATGAAGTCTGTTTACACACATCATCTGTTGATGTTGCTCCACTGTATTTTATGAAGTATGGTGTTGGTGCCATCTGTCAGAACATTTTAGACCACTTTATGTCTCTCCTGACGAGCTTTATGGAGATGCTGGTTTAAATTTTCCATCTGAACTTGATACCTTCTCAATACTGCCAAAGGTACCAATACCTGGTTTAGTCACCATGGAGTTCAGACAGGAAAAACCTGTCTGATCTTCAGGTCATCTATTGTCCGACGTTCTTGTCAAAATGAAAAGGAGAGACATCACACCCAACAATGGAATGGCTAATGGTGGCTATTTAAGCATCCTGAGCTTTTTAATGCAGTAATTTATGCAAAATCAGGCCTGACCCAAGCATTACATACATGCTCTTCAGTGACCTGACATTTAAGAATTAAACATAATCTGTTATTGCAGTGTAATTTTGAGTTTTCATCTGCAAGCCGTAACCAGTTTAAGATATATCTGCCGTGTTCAATGCACGCAGATATTCACTTTTTGAACTGGGCTAACTGTGGATAAACCAAGCCAGGATTTCTGAAATGGTTTCATTCACAAACTTTTGCTCTTTTCTCCTCTCCGCAGTTCCTCACGTACCTCTTCTCCAAAGAGAACACCATCTGGGATTCCTCCCTGGACATGGTGTGTGCCGAAAACATGAACAACCCCTTGTCCCACTACTGGATCTCCTCTTCGCACAACACGTAAGAAAAGCTGCCCCCATGAAGAACGTTTTCTTCTGTCAATTGTAGTCGGGTCCTGGGAATGCTGAAGCCTGGCATCCTCTTCCCCAAACAAGCCTTTTACACTGACTTCTTGTATCAGATAAAAGCGTATTATTTCCTCATTATGTCCCAGAATAATATTCATGCTGGTATTCAGTAAGAAGAAGAAGTATTTTTCCAGGCATTGAAAAGTGTGAGAAAGGCACTTCTGATGTTAACCTTTTGTCCTGGAAGTGAAACAATACTTTCTGAGGGGGTGAAGTGAAAATTTCCCATGTTCCTTTGAGTCTGTTTGAATGGATATGAAACAAGAACTTCTGTTGACAGAAGAGAAACAGGACTTGTAATTTTGCTGTGCTTTTTTTTTTTTGTTTGCTTAATACATAAAGAGACTGTGTGTCTGTTCTTTCTGGTTGACTGTTAATGTATGAACTTGCTTTGTGTGCATAAGTTATAACTGCGTGGTTATTTTTAGCTACCTGACGGGAGACCAGTTTGCCAGCGAGTCGTCGTTGGAGGCGTACGCCCGCTGTTTGAGAATGGGATGTCGCTGCATTGAATGTACGTAAGCACACATGACCTGCTCTGTCATCCTAACTTTGAGATTACTTTCAGCCTTCTAGCTGAACCGTGACGGTGACGGTTTCTTGGGTGTATGCACATAACGTCATGTTTTCCTCGCCGCGCGTTACTAAGAATAAAGCCCTGTGTTTGCTTTCAGTGGATTGCTGGGACGGTCCCGACTCGATGCCGGTTATTTATCACGGACACACCCTCACGACGAAAATCAAGTTCAACGATGTTCTGAACACCATCAAAGACCACGCTTTTGTCACATCCGAGTGAGTCTTCCTGTCTTCGCCAGCTTGTGTTTCTCCTTTTTGATTTTTATTCTCGATAAGATAACGGAAGACTAAGAAAAGACTGAGATCAGAAGATTGCACAGAGGAAAGAATCTAGATGCGTCATCCTTTATCAATATTGTCTGTCTGCAGTAGCAGATATTTTAGGAAATGTTCAACCTATCTCGGTTTAATCTGTACATCTCCGTCAGGTATCCCATCATCCTGTCCATCGAGGATCACTGTAGCATTGTTCAGCAGAGGAATATGGCCACCCAGTTCAAGAAAGTGTTTGGAGACATGCTGCTGACCAAAGCAGTAGATATGGCTGCAGACGGCCTGCCTTCACCCAACCAGCTCAAAAAGAAGATTCTCATTAAGGTCAGGCCTTAAGAAAGCAATAAAGGGCTTTTAATATTATTATTTTTTATATCTTTTTGCAAGAATTCTGGATCTTAGCTTCGTCCTCCCTCAGGTTGGGTGGGTGGGAAGAGAATCTTTTTTAGCAAACATGCTCATTCCATCCAAATAAATCTAACAATTAAAAGAAAATAAGTTATTTTTTTAATCAAGAAAATAATCCTGATCCTATTTGTAATCATGGCTTATCAGACAGGCTGTATCCAGGTGTTGCACTAATATCCATATGATATGGTTCTCACTTCCTGGTTCTTTGAGTGCTGTGGCTCTAGTTTGTCAGTTACTTATCTGACCATTTATTTATGTTAAATCTTTTTTATATTTAGATATTGTGTTGCTCTAACATATATTTGTCCTTTAACACTCTTAGTCTTTTAGGAATAAGATTTCTACGCAGGTTAAAATGTTGCTGCTCCTGACTGTCCTTCTCTTTCTTTGTGCCTCAGCATAAGAAGCTGGCAGAGGGCAGCGCCTACGAGGAGGTGCCGACAGCCACACCTTATTCTGAGAATGATATCAGCAACTCCATCAAAAACGGCATCCTTTACCTGGAAGATCCCATTAACCATGTAAGCATTGTTACTGCCTGGAAACTGCAGAGCTCCCGCCACATGAAAGGCCGTTCAGAGACAGATGGGTGGCTGGAAAGTTGGAGCTCATATCCCCAAGTCTTCCAGTCGTTTTAAATGTTGTAGATGTAATGAAGACACAAAGTGCTGCAGTTTTTCTTATCCGTTTGTTTTGAAAGTTTTATACACTTTTTTTTTTATTTTATTACATCTTTTATCTCCTTATTTTTACAGGAGTGGTACCCTCATTTCTTTGTCCTGACTCACAATAAGATCTACTATTCAGAGGAGACCACCAATAACCTGGGTAATGATGAGGATGAGGAGCTCAAAGAGGTTAGTACATTCTGTTCAAAGTGGGGCCCAGGAACTATTTGTGGCCCTGAATTGATTTTACGTGTGTCCTCCCTCCCCGTACCACAATTCAAATGAAGAATTAATTAAATAAATTAGGACAAAACTACAACTTTTACTTTAAAATCTACTTACAAAAATATTAGATGCAACTCAAAGTGTGTATCTTTGTCCAGCTTTCTGATTTCTTACTATTTCCTTGGCAAGTAAGTCCACATCTACTCATTGACTTATACAATAAAGTACAGCTTGGTGCCCTCAAATCTGATTTTAGTTTCTGTATTAAAACAACTAAACACAGAAATGTTCTCAAGTAAAGACTGGCCTAGATCCTGTTTTTGTTGCTGAGAAGAGATTATATTTTTTCAGTTTTCTTGAGCCCAAAATAATAAGCAAGCTAGTTCCTTTTCATTAAACAAGGAAAATGTGAAAAAAAAATATATATATACTTTTTTGGATCTATGATCCCGTTCCTAGAAACAAAAATTACATTACTGTATTTGTTTAATTAAAATAGCTCATGCTTAGTTTATTGTTGCGTTGGTGATATAAAAAAAAAATCACAATATTTTTGGTCATTTTATTTTTAAAAATGATTTTTTTTTTGTTTGCCCTGCATGTACTTTTGAGCTGACCAGTTCTATGGAGGTTATTTTAATGCTGAATGCAGGGTTTCTGCTGGGTGCTAAAATGTCTTAAATTTAATCATTTCAATGTTAGACGTTCAAAAGTTGGGCCCAAATTTTCCATATTAGTTACATTTAGATGCGTTTAAACTTTCTTTGTTTATCCGTTCTCTGCTCTTCGTTAACTTTTTCCGTGTTCAAATCCATCATTACATGCGAGTTTTGTAATTCTGGCTGATACAAAACTAGAAGATTTGAAAGCAAACGGCACATTAGGAAGGGCTTAATTGCAAAATGTTTGAGCTATTTTTAATGTTTTTATGCAAATTTAAGCAGACTACTAATTAGGCGTACAACTTACTTACATATTTCTAAGTGTATGTTTGGTCTTAAATTGAAATAATGATGGTCTTAAAAAGCATTTAATTGAAGTTAGTGAAACTTGCACAACCACACCTGCTACTCCAGGAGATAAAGGTGGCCAATGAGGAAACGGTATTAAAGCTGATGTTTTCTGCAGAGTATGGAAACACGGTAGCTGCAGTTTGACTGATGTCTTTGTTACTGTTAAGGTGCTCAATACTATGGACCAGCATGTGACGGAGAAATGGTTTCACGGAAAGCTTGGCGCTGGGCGGGACGGTCGGCAGATCGCCGAGAGGCTCCTGTCAGATTACTGCCAAGAGACCGGAGCTCCTGACGGCTCCTTCCTGGTCCGGGAGAGCGAAACCTTTGTAGGAGACTACACACTGTCGTTCTGGTAAATGCTACCGTCACAGTGCTTCAAGACTTTTCTATGAGACTAGGAAAAAAAAAAAA